GAACTTTCTACTTCACGATGTGCTTGCAATATATTGGATAACTGTTTGAAGAGTAACTAGGATCTGCAGCATAAGCTAACTTCATTGTGGATAGAGCACTTTGTTTCTCTTGTAGAACTGCAGTTTCTTTCGTTATTCTTTCCTGGACTTTATAGAAGCTTGAGGTATGATTCTCCCATAGACAGTCCATCTAAGCACGGTTCTATTTGCACAAGTGACTTTCACTTTCGATAGTCTTGCCAAGTTCGCCTACATATGTCAAAAGACAATGTTAAACTTCAGCACAAATTATTTTAAATCTGAATACTGAATATGATAGAGTACAAATACTAAATGTTTGCAACACTTTCCACTATTCACTACAAAATAGTGTTAATTAAACAATAGTATTAGCATAATCTAGCAGTATTTAGTGGTATTTATGTTGCATAGTTTTAGTACTGCTTGTACTCTAAATCTTCAAATTATAGATTTGTATTTTATTAGGTATATTACCTACAAAATGCTAACAACTGAAGTCTTAAAGTCTTTAACCAAAATAGTAAAGTTAATTCAGGTAGACTGCATGTAAACATAAAATAATCAGCATCATAATTTGTTATATAAGAATGCGAGAATGGATTATAGTAGGTTCCTGAATATTTGAACCATTTGACTGGGTATGAAAACAAGAATCAGGCCAGTACCCACATGATTATAATCAGGCCCTAACAATGGCTTACAAATACATAATTGTTGAGCTGATAAAACAGTTTATTGTCACATCTACAAATTATCAATTACAATTATATTAATATCACATGTTGACAATATGTGGCTGATGACTAACATAGACTGTGATAGTAACATTGCCTTAAGCTTGTATAAAAAGCTTAGAGAGTGCAAACACTACTACTTTCTGTGGATGCTTTTCAACTTTCTTGGACGAACAGCATAAGAGAAAGGAGTAGAATAAGGGCGCTCTTTGCTGCCACTCTTCACAAAGGGATTTAAAGTCGAATTTCATCARATCATCTCTGGAACATTTTCTTAAAAGAGATGGTTCATGTCTCCCACACAGACCATTGACTTCTTGTGTTACAGTGGTCAGTACTTTCTTTACTACTTCTTTACGAAGAACTTCACACTTCATAACAGCTGTAGCTATCGCTGAAGGAATACCATAATATAGAGATTTTCCTACCGATTCATACTTAGGATCCAGATACTTATTTACAGTCTTACTTAAATATTTAATTGAGATTCTCACAGTACTCGTTGACTGTGTTGATGTCGAGCGAGGAGTAGATGTTATGCCACCAACGAAGTGATCAGATGGCGTTGGAACGCTTGGAAAATGATGAGAAATCGGTAACTGGAAAATCATATGTTGGAGTGACTGCTCAAATGCTGCATAATTACGACTGATTGGATCGATCAGCGGGACAAATTCTCTATTCTGGTTAGTGTTTATGTTTCCCGAAGAAGTAGAAGTGGTAGTACTGAAGTCGAGTGATTTCGCCGATTGTTGTCGATGTTTGTCCTAAGTCATCTTCTCTTAACAGCCTTTTTGTTCGGATCTGTTGGGCGTTGAACTTATTCTTTATCTCGTCCTTAATTTTCTGGAACTTTTGAAGACAGTTTGAAAACTGTTGAAGAGTTTTGTAGCAACGGGTTTTACAGATGAAAAGTTCCTGACTTTGAGAGTAAGTTTTCAGATCAATGTCGATCGCAACGCTCAGAAGTTTGGGAATATCAAAGGCACTTTTCCCAAAAACTAGTACTTATTTTTTGGACAATCGACTGAACAAAGGAAACATTTACTCTCGCTTTCTGTAGTTTTTTTCGGCGTGTCCTCCATCAAAATAAAGGCTTACTTTTCGCCGCAACGGGAGCTCCCAGTACATTTTCGCGTCATTCTAATCGCTGATTGGTTTTTGAGAAACAATAGCGGTTATTTGATTGGCTGTGGTCAGACAATGGGAAAGGAATGTTGGGCCCGGATCAGCAGCCTATTCTTTTGGGAGGGTCAGGAAGCCCAACAAAAGGGTAGGCTGCGAAGGAGACACGACATTTCCACGCTTTTCTAAAACAAAGAAATTGACATTTCATACGATCTTATCGCCTTTCTATTGTGTCAGCCAGAAAAAAAATATAGTTAAAGCAAAAAGGTCTAATGAAACAACTAAAAGGATCATATGACAATATATTAGCCTCTATAGTTGCATGTAGTTTTGTCAGACATTACAACTTTTTCTATGAAGTCAAAGCTTTGGAAAACAATAGAACATGCAGTATAACATGCCTCTTTCCTGGTTCCTTGCATGTGTCCTTGCTGTTTGCAATCAGTATTTTATTGTTTGATACTTAAATTAAAAATGCACAGAATCTTTACCTCAAATACAAGAAAATGTTTTTTTTAACTTAGACTAGTGAGCAGCACCAAGGAGAACTCTTTGAGTAGTTGTAAAACTTTTTAATTTCCAACGCGTTTCGTCTCTTAACGGAGACTTCTTCAGGGAATGATTTTTACAACTATAGTACAGCAATATATAATAATGTAAACGTGATTTACAACTTCCTAAGGAAGTGACTAAAAGCTTACATATGCTGTTTAAAGGGACGTGTATATAACAACGTCGTGACTAATGTTATTATTACGTAAATAATTTGGGGACCATGCGATTAGCGCTAATCGCATGGTCCCCAAAAATAACTTACTTACATAGATGTGCTAAAGTAGTGGTACTCTTATAGCTAACAATACATTTCAAATCCGGTAAATGCTTTTCAATTACTCGCTTAATGTTGGCGTGACTACAGTTAAATGTAGATTTAAATACAACCATTCTATCTRCGCGAGTTTTGACCTTTCTAGAAAGCCACTTTGATCTGTTACTATACTTAACTTCTCTGAAAATAGGAAGCAAGAAACTAACGGGATAACCGMGRAGCCGAAGGCGCTTCCAGAATTTAGCACGAGTTTCGCTAAAAGCTTCAAACGTCGAGCTATTTCTGGTATAGCGCATAAGTTCGCCTCTGATAAAGGCCTTGGGACCTTTCCAAATGCAAAAAATGTCGTCAATAAAACGCTTGTATAACACTAGGTGATTCGAGAACTGGCTAACCAGGTCCTTTTCTAGATAATACATAAAAGCGTTAGCGGCAGTAACTGCAAAAGGGGTTCCCATCGCTATCCCGTATATCTGATGAAATATTTCCTCGCTAAATTCTGTTTTAAGAACATTATTTTCAAAAACAAGCCTAGCGAACTGAATTAACAGAGGTGTCTCAGGCGCCTTGGCCTCTCTAAGCAGTAGGTCTAAGGCAATTAATGCTTTCTTAATATCCACGTTTGGATAAAGCGAGATAACATCAGCCGTGACTAGAAAGCATTGCGAGGGCAACCTGATAGACTCCAAAGCTTGAATCAGTTCACCAGAATCCCTAAGAACTGTGGGCATTTTAAGCCTAGGTTTAAC